GTGATCGTACGTCCACCCTCCGCATGCTGAGCAGAAAGTGTAGGGCTTAACCTTGCGGCGAGACTTGCCAGCACGATTACGGCCCTGCACATCTGCCCACTCTTCATAGGTCATGTCAGTCAGTGAAAAACAGAGGGGGACTCGCGCGATGCCCAAAAGTTTGAGCACAAATGAGTACTTGAGCCAAAATGGCTACGGAGGAGGAGGAGGAGGAGGAGGAGGAGGGGGAGGAGGAGGAGGGGGAGGAGGAGGAGGAGGGGGAGGAGCAGGAGGAGGACGGCGGCTCGTGGCGTTCCCGTGCGGCCGCCGGGGCACCGCACTTGCGCGTCCACGCGGCAGCGGGGCACACGGCCGACACCGCGCGGATCGCCGGCGCCGCGCGGATTGCTGCAGCCTCAACCCTCGCGGCTGCCCGACGATGCGGACCTGGCCATCGCTCGGACGTCCATTCACTGCGTTTTTGTTCGCTTCCGTGCGTGGTTTTTTCGCCAAGTGATCAAGGATGCTCCTCGATGGCCCCCGCCGAAGGGAAAATGCACACGTCCGAGCGATGCCAAGGGACCGCTCGCTCTGGGCCGCCTCGGGGCCCCTGGCGGCGATCTACCCTGCACGCCCGCGCTGGGGTCGCCGCCGCGCCGGCACGGCGCGAAGCTACCGCACCTGGAGAGAGGGAGCCGTATCAGTCAGCATACAATCAAGAGATTGACTACCTACCAGACCACCCCAACCCAACCCGAAGACCCGAAGTTCGGGTTGGGGGAAGTAAGGGTTCCACCCATGTTTGTTTAATGTTCCCCGACCCCCCCCCCACTGGAAATGGAGGCCAAGTTGAGGCCTTCGGGTTGGGTTGGGGTGGTTTGGTGGGTGGTGAGAGATTGCGTCGGGCCGGAATGCACCATTAAGGACCGGGCCACATCGGCACGGAGCCGGAGTCGAAGCGGATCGGCCGCGCCAGGATGCACTGCAACGCCATGCGTGCATCGGGCCGCGTCGGACCGTCGGGATATCGGAATCGAATCGGATCGGGCCGGCCCACGTGGACATTGCATTGGACCGATCAGATCGAGGTGGGCCCTGAGGGGCCTCCGGGCCTCCGAGGTGCAATCCGCGCGATGGCGAGGTCGACGTCGCGATGCAGACGCAGCGTTGAAGCCAGTCCCGATCCTCTGTCATTGCACGCGCCCCTGCCAACCAGCACCGCCAGCTGCAGAGCCGGTTGCAAACGCGGGTGACACCGTTGGCAATTGGTCGGGTTGGCAGCGCGGGCGAGAGTGTGCGTAGCCAATGCACTGATGTAGGATGTAGCCCCCCCTGTCAGCCTCCGCCTCCTGCTGGCGTGTCATCGCCTGGGAAAAGGCGCCCTGGGAAACGAGAGCGTGGCCGCAATGGCGGCCTTGACCTTCTGCACACGGTGGTGCGTCTCTGCGAACAGCTTGGCACGCTCCCAAACATGGACTGCAACCTATAAACGTGTCTCCGCGAAGAACCTGGCCTCATGTCAGCCGGATTACCTTGCAACAACACGGTTCTATTTCCTGGAAGGCGTGGAGCTTGAATCCCGTGTGATTGCGCATGTTCGTCCTCTTGACCCTCGCGTGCCATCAGGTGCGGTAGTTTCGTGTCACGACCTCAACGTTCGATTCCTGACACCGCCTGGATCACTCAGCCTTGAACGATCTGAGGCTTTCGATCGCCACATCGTTCCATATTTGCCGATTTTCGGCCACTGCGTTCAACCCTGAACGCCCGCGCTGGGGTCACAGCCGCGCGGACACAAACCGAACCAGCCGTACGTGATCTGATTACCCAGCCGACGCGCTCGAGGAGGTTCACTTTGGAGTCCCGAAGCAGCGCGGTGACAAACCGTGCGGTGACATCGAAATCCCCCAACACCTCACCCAGGGTCCTTCAACGCACGGTTTTGGGACCTCGGAGGCCCCTGTCGCCCTAGACGTCCTCGGAGAGGGACTCGAACCCCGAAACCGTGCGGTGACCCCGAATCCCCACCGACTCACCACACGGTGTGGTCACCACACCGCTTGGGGGCCCCCGATTCACTCGATACGCGGCGCTACCCATCCCGGAAACCTGCAAAATTAATGATCCCGACAGCCTGACTGCACAACACCTCGCCGCGGCGGCGCAACGGTGGGGGGGCCCACCAGAGCGCGCAGCCTCGGCACGGCCCTCGGCGCGGCATACGAGACAGACGGCTCCCGGGTGGTGTCTACTTAGGGCGCCCCCCCAACGCGCCCCCTGGCCAGCCACGCGTGCCCAGCCCAACCCTGCCCAAAGCCGGGGCAAGCAAAAGAGCGCGGCACGATCGGCTCCGTCCTCGCAGCGCGCGCGGACTCGGCCGCCACCGAGGATACTCACGCGCGCCCTCTCCTCCCCGCGCCTGCACGGTTTCCCCCGGGGCCGAAGCCGACCCGAGGAGGAGGAGGAGGAGGAGGAGGAGGAGGAGGAGGAGGAGGAGATGGAGGAGGGGGAGGAGGAGGAGGAGGAGGAGGAGGAGGAGAAGGAGGAGGAGGAGGAGGAGGAGGAGGAGGAGGAGAAGGACGAGGAGGAGGAGGAGGAGGAGCAGGACGAGCAGGACGAGGAGGAGGACGGGTCGCCTAAGCCGTTCGGAGAAGCCCTCCGCCCCGCGCCCTGTCGCCGAGCTCCAGCGCGGCCCCGGCGCGCCCGCGCCACGTCTCCGGCGCGTGCTGCCGACCTTCCAAGGCCAGCCACGCAAGCTCTATATATTGGTCGGGAGCGGCCAAGAGGGGGGTGTCCAAGAGGGGGGGGTGCAAATCATGACCGGCGGCATGTGCGCGGCCCAGCGGGGGTGCCAGGGACGTAATGAAATAAGAAGAGGCGCCATGAGATCTGGGGAAATATCATGGCCCCCGCCATGATATCCACCACCCCCCTAGTCATCACCCCCCTCTTTTCCGCCCCCGGATTGGGCTCCAGATGGGGCGGCCGCCACGGGGGAAATCGGGTCCTTGTGAGCGTTGTTTTATTTCGCGTTTCGACATTGGGTAGAAAGGGGGGGGGAGGGGCGGGGGGCCTGGCCCTGGACCTCTGCTTAGTGCGTCTGTTTGCAGCAGTGCGTCCATTATGGGCGAGGGACTCCACCCGCTCGAAACAGGCGCCAAAAACAGCCCAGATCTACTCCATGGGGCGGGGGGGGGGCGAGGGCCCGCGCCAATCGGCAAAACAACGAATGACAAAAAAACTAAAAAACTAGAATTTTGTCACTGCTTTCGGGCTCTCGGGGCTCTCCACGGGCCCCGGGACTGCCAGAAAACGACTCGGGATGAAGACCTCGTCCTGGGGGAAAGCACCAGGGTCCATGTCCCGTTTCCCTCAGAATCCGTTTCCCTCATGCTGCGGACCTGTCGTCGACCTTCCTATGAAGCAGGCCAAACATGAATGGGAGCCTCGCAGGGTAGCCTAATGCGCCTGGGGGCGTCGGGCAACTGCTGCTCGTCCACCTTGGGCCGCTGCTGCCGCACGCCCGCCACTGGTCGCGCATCACCGCTGCTGCGGGAAGCGGGACGTCAGCCTGGCGTCCAGTCGGCATCGGGAGCCCTGCTTCGATGAAGTAATGCCGATTGAACACCCTCTGCTGGCCTTCAAAGCTCATGGCACATGATGCTGACTGCTGCCGCATTGAAGCATCTGCCCTGCTGGCCTGTCCAAGCGAAGGGCGAGCTGCACCTAAGTACAACAACTATTGCACCTGAAGCTTGAGCGTGAACGGCTTGAGCCCGGGCCAGGATGATAGAAGGCGGGACATGATGAGCCAAAACACACATCGGACCTGACAGGCGGGCGCGCATCGCTGCGGCGCCTGGTGCGTGTGATTCCTGCAGGCCTCTGGAAGCAGAGTGAGGTCGGAGTGTATCAGGTAGGCGATATTGTAGATGACGAAGGACGCCAAGAGCGCCTGGCGCCCTCATGCCCTCATTCCCCCCGCGATCCCCCTCTGCGGATCCCCCCCCTGCCCCCTCCACATAACCCGACGTCGCACTTGCTTCGCGTGAGCCCCAAGGTCGGGGCCCCCCTCTCTAGGACCAATATTGCATCCCGAGTTGTTTTTTTGACGGCCCCTGGGCCCGACGAGGGCTCACAAAAGCCGAACATCGCCAAAGCATTCAGTCGTGCCGTTCGCGACGCGAGGGGGTCTGGGTCGCTTCCGCTCTCCGCCCCCCTCCTCCCGACTCCGCCCTCGCCCCCGATTCGGCGAAGGACTTATACCGTGCCCTCCGAGGCACAGCGGGCGCGTCGCAATGTGTGCATTTGTAAAAAAATGTACACACATATACATATATATATATATATACACACATATATAGATCTATCTATGTATATGTAAATATATGTATAGATATATGTATATGCACATCGATGTGTGTATGTATATATATATATGTATACGCACATATATGTATATATATATATATATATACACGTGCATTGAATAACTATCGATAGTGCCATGATGGGAAGATCCTTTCTCTTCCAGACTGAGCGCTGACGCGTGCTTGTCCTGCCTCGGGCCTTTGTAAGAGGCATTTAGGATCAGACTGAAGCTTCTGTGGGCGCTGCTCTCGGGCCCCCGAGGGGCAAACCTGGGGCGTCCCGAGGTTCCCGCTCGTGGGGACCGCGCGGGGCTTCTACGTCTGGGAGACCTTGGGGCTGACTTGACGGGGCACCGGGCAGTGTTGGAGCCGTCTGGTCGCCGTCCCGGGCACCATGTTTGACCTTCTCGTGGGATCTTCGGGGCACTTTATAAAAGCTCGCGTGGGCAACTTTGGCCAAGTCCCACCAGCCCTTTGGGCGTGAGTGGTTTAGCGAGCTTTCTCTGTCCTCAACCCCCCTTCTTCCCCTTCGGGGAGGGGTTTACCCCTCCCCCTCCCCCCTCCCCCTGGGCCTGGACAGGGAGTCCCGAGTGTTCTCAGGGGGGTCTTTTTCGACTCCTGGGAGGGCCAAAAAACGACGACCCTCACGAG